TTAGTACTCAGATGAGTATTTAAAGTACATAAAAATTTATAAATCAAAACAGTTTATCTAGTTACATATTTATAAGGTTTTACTGCTTGCTTTTGGGTTATATCTGTCATGAGAATAGAATACTTGGTTCTATTTTATTCAAGTTTAAATTAAATTACAATTAAAAGCTTAGATAACCCAAATAGCTAGCAAACTAGATAACAAAATACAGTGATTTAACTATCTTTATTATATAAGCAAGTTGTTTTAAACTCATCCAGAACATATTTAAACAATCACAGATAGGTTGAAATATTACCCCTTTAAAAGACCTCCCCATGTGTAATGTGTTAAATAAATAAGCCAGGATAGTCAGTAAAATTGTCATTCATTTATTAAGAAGCTAAATGGTTCCCAAATAAACTAGTATATAATACTGTTTCTACTGTTTAAAGCACAGGATAACTTACTCCTAGATGTGTTTTTCCATCTAACTCCAAACTGGAAAATGAAACATAAAAATCAAAGAAAATAATGTGTTCACTTAGCATTCAGCTGATGTCATTTAATGAAGAAAGATCATCCTATACATACCAAGTCTGTAAAGGGTCACTTACCTTTAATCTTCAAATAAACAATTATGGCACATCATGGAGAATTTCTTCTATGTGACGGTATTGAGCATGCTGTGGTATGGTAGCTCTAAATCCCAGTAAATGTAGTGAATTGCTCATTAGGCTCTCTTTTTCTTCACAAGACTTTCTACTATGCAGTTTCAATAGAGCAGAATTTACTGGTACTGTTAACATTTTGAGGCAAATACTGGGCAGGGCTCAACCCCTGCTAGGAATCATCAGCTGCATTATTCGCTGCTGAGCAACGCATGTAGCCTCTACCCACTAAATTCCAGTAGAATCCACCACCGATATAACAAAAATAAATCTTTAGATATTGCCATATATGGGGGGATTGTCCCCTGAAACCACCACTTTAGAGAAATATATCAAATAGGCAGAGTGATTGTAAAGGGAAGAGGCCAGATAAAAATAATGATCTCTCTTTCATAACTGTAGTCTTCTGGTTTGATACAGGCCCAAGTACTTCTTGATGCTTGATCAAGACATTAGATGCTCCCTACCTACCATTATTTTAAGGTCAAATGTCTTCTACTTCTAAACCTAAATTGAAATTCCTCTTAAAAGAATGTCAAAGTCACCTTTTTGTTAATTACATAGCATGATTCCAGAAGATGTGAGAAATGTGTGAGTACTTACCATGTATCAGGCATAGTACCAGGTATTTAAGAAATATCCATGTATCAACTATATTTACTTAATTGAGAAATAACTGCTTCTTACATTTTTCTGCTTTATTTTTATTTTATGAGTGTTCTGCCTGCATGTATTTAAGTGTAATATCTGTGTGCAATACCCATGGAGACCAGAAAAGGGCATTGTGACCCCTAGAGCTGGAGTTAGAGATGGTTTTTAGCAGCTTTGTGGGAGCTGGAAACCAAACCGGGGTCTTCTGCAAAAGCAGCCAGTGCCCTTAACCACTGAACCATCTCTCCACCTCTGAGAAATAGCTCTTATAAACAAGTTTTTAACAGGTGAATCTTTGTGATCTTTAATTTGTCAAAAAAAAATCATTAGATTTGACACCCAAAGCACAAGAAGTGCACTTTATTAAAATAAAAAATATGAAATTCCCATAGTTCAAAAGACACAAAGGAGAAAGTGAATAGACAACCTGTAGAATAGGAGAAAATGCTTGCAAATCATATATCTGAAAGGAGTATTGTACCTGGAATATATTAATGACTCATAGATTAATAATACAAAGATAAATAGCTTAAATAAAAAATGGTCAAAGAATATGAATATACACCTCTTCAAGAGATAATCAATGACCATTAACATTTTAACATTTATCAATGTTCAGCATCAATATTCATTAAGAAAGTTCAAACCAGAATCCCAATAAGATATAAGTGCACATCTCCTAATGTGGCTACAATTAAATAGCTAAGGAACAAGTGTTGGCAAGAATATGAAGAAACTGGAATCCTCACTGTTAATGGAGAAGTTGCTCTGGAAGACAGTCTAGCAGTTCTTCAAACAAATTAGTAACAAAGTTACTATACAACCCAGTAATTTTGCCCTCCCAGGTATACAGCCAAGAGAAATGAAGATATAGGTACACACACACACACACACACACACACACACACACACACAAATGGTACATGAATCATTATAACCGCATTATTCATAATAGTCAATCATCCCAAATACACATCAATAGACAAATAGATAAACAAAATATAGTATATTCCCACAATGGAATACTGCTTGATCATAAATGTGAAGTGCTGAACACATCATGCTAAGTGAAAGCAACCAGCCATGAAAGGTTAAATATTATATGACCCCATGCATATGAAATGTCCAGAATAGTGAAGTCTATATGGGTGGAAGGTAGATTTATGTTTTCCCAGGGCTAGCACCAGGACTGGGAGGACTGGGAGGGAGAATGAAAGCTAAAGGGACAGGCATGGTTTCTTTTAGAGACGATGAAGCAATCTAAAGGACTGCAGTGATAGTTCTATCTATGACTATATTAAAAAATGAATATGCTAAAATACATTCTATTTACATATTATGCATGAGCTCATATGGCATAATTTAATGGGTAACATATGTATATATATGAATTATGCCTGAATTAAACTGCTTTATGAAAAAAACATTTCAGGAACAAAAAAAAAACATAACATTGGGACTATGGCTTATTAACAAAAACATCTTTAAAACAGCCTAGCATCTGGAGAGATCTCATTCTTTTGGTTGTAAAGTAGGAAAGGAACATTGAATCCTATTCAAACCACTGAAAACACTCCAGGTAAATATTTTATTCAGGAATACAAAAATCTTGACTGTACAAAAAGAAAACATGAAAATGTCAGCATCCGGGAACTTTACAGTACAATGATTATTTAAGATGTATTAGGAGGCATTAAGCAATCAAAAAATCATAAAAATCGAGGATTCTTGCCGGGAGGGCATTAAACAAGGAGAGTTGAAGAACCCATATGAAAAGCAGAAGCCTGCAACACCGGCTTCTTTACCAACCTTAAGAGAGGCTCAGAAAAGAATCTTCCTTGGTATGCACCATAAACCTTGACGTTCAGGAAGCTAAGGTAATCACCCATATGATTTACTCCAGTAACAAATAGGAAGTGTGTAACAAAGGGCCAAGCAAAAACAGATTTAAAGAGATGCATAGAGTTAAACCAGTTCTTAGCAATGGCTACTGAGAAGTTTAATTGTCAACAACATTATGGCTTTTTCCAGGCATACAGAAGATGGCAAGATCCCCGTGGGAATAGTGTACAGTTCTACTACTGAGATCATTCAACCCGTGTCAATTTTAGTCCCCCAAAGTCAGCTTATGTGCCTGGCTTATGTGATGGACTATATCAATCATGTGACTGTTTCTCATTGCAGAGCTCCTGGTATGTGCTGTTCCCACACTCCATGGTTTCCCAGACCCCCCAAAAATCACCAGTGACAAAGAAAAGCCCGGGGGCATATTTTAAATCTTTAATACATCTCAGCTCCTGCGTTGACCGTTGTAAACAGCAAAGTTTACCAGCAATCCGAGTCTAGGTACCTCATACAACACTGTGCTTCACTTAGGAAGCAAAAACAGGGCTAATTTTGGGGTGGGAGGCCAAGAGAAAAAAAAAAGAAAGAAAGAAACAACCAAAGGCAGTGGTGGTTCTTCTCTACAGAGCCTCACGTTTCAAAATGACTGACTGCCTTAAAAGCTGGAATGACCCAGATTACTGTGTGGGGAGACAGGTATTCATTCCTTTGCAGTGTGTGGCTATATAGGCTGTGTGGCTTGATGTGGGAAGAGGGAGCTGGAAGGGGGAATCTATACCGCGAGAAAAAGAGTGGGGAATGGTCTTTAGCTACCACCCACTTGTCGAAGTGAATCACTGCAGTGTCAGCCCTGCACTGATTTCATGAATTGCCAAACAGGATGAGGTAAGGCTGAAGCCTGGAGCCCACTCCTCCCCTCCTTCCTCCTCCTCCCGCGCACAGAAGGGCGCATCCCTCCCTCCGCGAGGTGCACCACGCAGCCCCCCGCGGCCAGGGCTTACGTCACCCTTCTGCATTGAGCTCAAGAACTGGTAGCAGCACCGTTTGATGGAGAACATAGTTGGGGTGCTACCGCTGCCACCAGGTGGTAGGGGTCCTCCTCCTGGGCGCTGAGGACTGGCTTTACCCAGTGAACAGAATGACCAGATGGGCACAGTTAAGGATGGAAAGGAGCCAGAAAGGGGTCGTAAGCCCCATCTCTCGAGTCGCTGAGAAAGCTCAAAGATGTCCCTGGCTTATGTAAGACCCTCTCCCCTTCCGTGCGCCTCCAAGCGGTGGTGCCTGCCGCAACCCCCACCCCCGATTAGCGAGCCTGGGAGACTCAGACCGCCCTTGTCCAGGCAGGGAGAGGGTTATCTGCGTCTCTCTCATGCAGCCCAGCAGGGTCGGGAATAAGTCGGAATCTGAGATTAAACCCCAGCCATCCCGCGCCCACTCCTCGCCTGCCACAGTTTAGCTACAAGAGGCACTGCAAACCCACTAGTGAGGTGGGGAGATGAGTCCGGAAGAGAAAACAAACAAATCCGCAACTTTCCCCAGGGACTGACCCTATCCTGAGAGCTGAAGAACTCAATGAATTAAAAAATATTTTTATGGAAAGGTCTGCAACCTGCAGTCACCCCCACCACGCAGCCCACTGCAGCTTCTGCCAGGCAGAATCGAGGGTGGGAGCAGCCGAGACCCGCGCCCTACCTTCCCGAAGCCCTGACCCAGCTCCCCGCCCCTATCTCTCTACCGACAGGGTTTCAAAGATCCGGTTTGGGGTTTGGTTTTTTTCCCAGCTTTCTTCCTAAGAACATCATCACACCGACTGATGGACCGAGACCCGGCCACCAGCCAGCCGTGGGCACTCACCCAGAAGACGAAGGAGTAAATGATGAGGAGGGTTTTGAGACAGGTTATCACAGGTTTGGTCTCCATTCTCCTCGATGCCATACTACAGAGCTCCGGCGGCGGCGGCGGCGGCGGGCTGCGGGCGGGCGCGGGAGGGGGAAGAGGCGGGGCCGCGCGGGGCGGGGCGGGGGCGCGTGCCGCCTGAGCTGCCCGTGCGCGCGCACTCAGGGATGCGCGTGCATGAGCGCGCGGCCGCGGAACCCGGGCTGAAGCAGCAAGCCGGTCAGCGACTGCGCTCTGGAAAAGCTACGAAGCCTGCAATCCAGCACAGGCTCGGGCTCAGACTCTCAGCAGAGGCAAGGGCTGGAATGATTCATGGAGGGACGGAATCCTCCCTGCTTAGAGACGGGTTCAGAAGTCCAGGCAACATCTCCGAGATCATCTCGCAATTAAGATTTCTGGTTTGCAGGAAGCAGGGCCTTATATTTACAGAAACTCCTGCACCTGGTTGGCTGAAGATTATGGGTGTCCGCAGAGATCCTGCATTTGGACGCCCGATAGATATGTCCTTGGCAATCAACGCGCCTTGCCTGTGCCGGGAACAGAGTGTGACAGCCAGAGATACAGCTCCAAGGATTGTAAGGAAACCAAGAGTTCAAAGACCCCCTAAATCCTTGCCGGCGCAGGTATCAATAAGCACCCTTGAAACTATATTTTTAGATTTCCTCACATTTGGAAATGACGAAGTAAATTGCAAGCTGTATGTAGTAACATTTTTCCTGCATATAAAATGATTAACAGCTTAAAAAAAAAACATAATCATTTAAAGTGTCAGAGAATCATTTGCCTCTCCTAAATAATAATAATAATAATAATAATAATAATGTTTAAAAAAACGACTTGGAATTTCCTCCAAAGGTTGAATGTAGAGTTACCATAAGAATTCCACTCCTGGGTGTCTTCCTGAGGGAAATGAAAACCCGTATCTACATGAGAATTTGTGCATGAATATTTATAGCACTATAATTCATGAGTAACAAAAAGTGGAATCAAATGTCAGTTGACATTTCTACAGTGGAAAACTATTCATCCACAAAATGTAATGAAGAGCTGCAGATACATGTTACAACATGGATGAACTTTCAAAGTATGTTTAGTGAAGGAAGCCACTCACAGAACACGTAATGAATGATCCATGTATAGGAAACCTCCAAAACTGACAAATCCACAGAGACAGAAAATACATGAGTGGTTGCTGGAGGGTAGGAATGTTGGTGGGGGGATTGCTTTCCTTCTTGGAACGATGAAAATGTTGTGGAATTAGATGATGGTGGCAGCTGAATAGCATAGTTTAAGAGAACAAATTTTATGTAATATGAATTCTATTACAATAAAAAATAATATACATTCCACCTAGATTCCCCATGACTGGTTCTAAGAGGAACACACAATAGAGATTCTGACAGATTCCATCTTACTCCTGAGAGAGGCTACAGTAGGAAGCAACGCCATCACAGGCAAACTCCATGTAGGTGTTAAGAATACTGTTTGTGAAAGAGTAAAAACATAGTCAATAAAGTTTGACTAAAGCCTTTCAAGATCATTTGTGGCTAGTATAATTATTACCTCTAATGAGTTAGACATGTTCCCAGGTCAGGAAGGTCATTCTACAAACAGAAAACCAATATGAGGAAGAGGGGAACCTGGTGAATGGGCAGTCACAGCAAAGGCTATTTGGGCATAGGTGGACTGGAGAGGAAAACAGTATAAGTGAATGAAGATTAGCAATGGAAGGGGGCTGGGCATCTGCTATAGAGGAAGACTTTGCACAGTAATTTTCAATGATGGCTGTCATTTGCACCCCCCACACACACACACACAAGTGCTTTAAAGAAATAATGAATTCCTGGGCCCAATCCCAGCTAGTTTGAGTTAATTGTTATGGAGTCAAGGTTCAGCATCTTTAAAGTCTGCAGGTGTTTCTCCTAAGCAAAAGTTGAGGTCCATTGCCCCTGCTGTGATGAAATTGAATTCAAGCTGACAAAATGCTTCCTCCACTTTGAGAGTCTGCAGGCTGATTCCTGAACTCTGTGGAGGAACAAGGAAAGGATTCCAAAACTTTGAAGCTCATAGTCTTAAAAAGTCTTGGCCATGTATAAATGTAAAGGGGTCATATATCACAACATAATAGGTGAATTTATAGAAGATAGAGGATATTCACGTATGAAACCCCTCAGAGCTTCAACTAATTCATTATTTCAGTGTGGCGCTTTTTAAATCTAGTTAAGTCTACACTTGATATTTTGAATTATTCTACCAAAAATAAACTAAATATAGAGATAAACATATACATATATTAACACGAGTAATAGGTAAATTAAAATATTTCAAGGCCAGTCTTGCTACTCGTTATGTTCTGTCATATAGAGTAAAAAAAAAAAAATCATTCTAGTTTTCCAAGGACTGAGGAGTTTCCTTGCATCCATGAGTTTCATTGCTAAATTCAGAAATATCTAGCACAAACCAGGACAAGTTAGTCACAATGAAACAGATAGGGACTACTCCAAAGGCACACAGGGCAAATAACCTCCAGGCCCTTAACCTATTACTCATTAAAAACAGTGTGTCTTCGCTTCTGCCTCCATCCTTATAGTTTAACAGCTTTGTCAAATGATACAAGGTCAGAATGTTTACAAACTAGAAGTTCCTTATAATGGAGGCAAGCTTAAATTATCGTGGTTTGAGATAGCAACACAAATGACAGAGATAAGGAGGAAATGTTATTGAAGAAAAACCTAAATAAGACCTTTGGGTTCATTTGTTCTTGTTGATCTCAATATCACTAATTTCAGAAGTCACATACATTGTTTACAGTAGTTTCCCACTAGTTTCTTGGAGGTATTATATCTGCCTTGTGGTTTATGATAACAGTTGGCTAGACTAAGTCACAAAACTTGAAAGCTGCCTTTGCTTTTTAAAAAGCAGTTCTTTAAAAGAACCTCAGCTTTTCGAAGAAAGTGGGATAAAAGGCTTGGCATGTCTGTCTTCATGTCACTCTGTCACCTTAGCTGTGCCAACCTTTGCATCAGAGTCTATTCATTTCTGCATGTGGATATGTTGATTAGTTAGAAACTTTTTATTGAAAACTATCATGCAGTGTTAACTCAGCCTATTGCCTCTTGGAGCAGATTTTTTTTCTGCACTGCTCTTGTGATTTCTCAGCAGCTCAAGCACCGAGAAGCCTTCAACTCTATCATACAGCAAGACTATTTATGCAAGAGGATGGCACCAGCAGTAACTTAGCACTTCCTGATTTCCTGAGACGAGCACCCACCCCTTATCCCACCAAATACAAGACCAGGAAGTTTATGTCCAAGAAGAAAAATATCTCTTGAAACCATGCCCATAACTCGTGGACAATTACCAAACTTTAGCCCACCAGCACCCAAATACATGAAACTTGCTCTCATTTTTTACCAACAAACAGCAGCCTGTTGAGCATTAACAGTCTCCCTTCAATTTCGAGTGATGTTGGCCAGTTCAGACTCATGTCCTAGTAAAGTTTTGCCTGTCTTGTTTGTAAAATATGGTTCAGTGTCAGATCCTGCCATCTGGTACCAACCGTATCCCTGAAGTAGGAGCACTGGCACCCACTAGGAGAGTTTGGTGACAAGTGAAAGCTCAAGCCCCACTGCAAGTGGGGCTCATTAAGATGTTAAGATCTCCAGGATTTAGATACACAGCGATGTCTGTCAGGCAGTCAGTGACTGAATCGTATCCTTCCAAAGATACACTTAAGTCCTAACTCAGGTATCTCAGAGGTAACCTTATTTGCAAATAACCTTGCTGCAGATTAGTTATTTACTATGTGGTCATATTGGAATACTGTGGGCCTCAACTTTAGCTTTAAATCAGAGGTGTTTTAAAACAGAAGACATAAGAATATGCCCAAATGAAGAGTGACTCACACAGGAAGAAGCCATGTGGCAACAGAAGCAGAGATCAAAATAATGCAACTACTACGAGCCAAAGATCAGCAGGGATCAATGGTCACCTCCAGAAGCTGTGAAAGAGGCAAGGAAGTATTCAAGCCAGAGTATTAGAGGGAGTGTGGCTCTGCTGACACTTTGATACCAGGCTCCTCACCTCCAGACGTGGGAGAAGATCAATTTCTTCCTTCAAGACATGCAGGTACGGTAATTTCCTGTGGCAGCATCAAAAAATGAACAAGTGAAGGATGCACTGATCCACAGGTTGGCAAAATATTATGATAACTACCATATCAGCCACCCTTAGCTATATATCAAAAATAATTGGAAACATGGATTCAAACAAAAACTTACTTGCGAATGTTTCCAGCAGCTTTATTCACAATAACCTAAAGGTGGAAGCAACTAAGTGTTGAACAGATGATGAATGTATAAAGAAAATAAGTAAATGCACACAATGGAATATTATTCAGCCACAACAAGGAATAAATGACATATTATTTCTAGAAAGTGGATGGAACCTTGTAAACATGATGCTAAGTGGAAGAAGACAGACACATAGGCCTCAAATTTCATTAGTGCATTCATATGAAGTATGCATGATAGGCAAATCTATAGAGTTAGGAAGCAGATGAAGGACTGCCAAGAACTAGAAGGAAAGACTAGGAGGAACCATTGATTAACAGCCACGGAGTTTTATCTTGGTGTGATGAACAATTTCTGGAGCTAGATAATGGTGATGGGTCTATAACATTGTGAATGTCCTTAATGGCTGAGCTGTATACTTTAAAAATGGGTAAAGCAGTACATTTTATGACTTTATCACATACAGAAATAATATATAACCAGAGCAAGGTCAAAGTCCTGCAACATGATGGAAGGGTGTGTTCAGGGAACTGAAAGACTTTCCAGAAGCAAAGAAGGTTTGCAGAAGGCTGGAGAGGAGTCAGTTTCTCCAGACATTCTTAAGTGATAATAAGGATTTTTCCTTACAAATCCCCTTCAATCTAATGTCCAGTGTAATCTTATTCAAGCACAAACGTTATTATATCATTCTCTTGTTTAACATCCTCTAATGCTTTTCTATACCTGCACTTTGAATCAAATTTAAACTCTTCACCTCTGTTTAGAAAACACACATAAGCTGGCTCCAGCTTCCTCAGTCACTACTT